AGGGAGGAATCTTCATATATTATCCAAATGACTTGCGTCATACCATGTGGATTAATAAGTGGACAAGCTAGGATTCGAGTGTAACGTCCCCCATCTCCTCGTCAGCTGGACGCTGTGAAGGAACCGAGGCCCAGAAGCCCCGAGGCACACAGTTTGCCCCAGATAAGGACGCTTCCTCTAATGATTCATGACTTGACCTTGAACCCGCCGACTTAAGGCAGTGAGTTCTTCCTCACTGGAACCAGTTGAGCGATGTTAAAGATGTTAATCTGCCGGGACTATGAGATCTGCAACAACAAGTCTCCCATAGGAGATTCCCAGCCCTGGTTCTGCATCCTACATTCCTGGTCTTGTTGACTTAATGGGTGAGAGTGAGCGGGCACGCTGGCACAATTGAATATTTTTCTGTAGTTTTACTTGTTTTTATGGCTTCTCCGTGGAGGAAGATCATCGCTAGCATCCTAAGTAGGACTCCGTTCTGCGCAGGACGTTTTATCCGTGCGTGTGCACAAACACACACTTAAATTTTTTTTCCTCCTCCATCTCTATCTTTCTAACAGTTCTGCAGGCAGTATTTTCTTACTTTTCCAGATAAGGCAGCTTCAGCACAGAGAGGCCAAGTCATTGCCCACAAGCACACACCTGGTAAAAGTAGAGCTGAGCAGAGGCCTGAGTGGGTCTGTTTCCGTGGGTAGCGTTGCCAGCTTTGCCTGGCAGCCTTCCTTCTGAAGCCTTGCCGCGAAGGCATGCTTCCCATCCGGAATGTGAGACGGGGCAAGACTTCAAGGCGCCTCAGTCTGAGATGTTCCACAGGTTACCGCCATGGGTTTTCATGGTTCACCTTCCGGATATTTCTATGAAGTGTGTGAGAACTTGCCACAATAGCAGCCGCATCCACGTTCAAGCTGAAGGTCAAAAGACCCTTAAAAACCAAGTAGTAATTTTGCTGTGATTACCCCCTATGTCACCCCCTATCTTTGCTTTAGTTTATCTCTCTCTCTCTTTTTTTTTTGTGGCTCTTATGACTAGTTATATAAAGGGAATGCAAACATTTCAAATTGTTTTTCATATTTTCTGTAGATATTATCTATAAAATATTAATTCTTGCAATTATGTTTATAAGTATGTTTTATCCTTAATGTGATTTCATAGCTACAAATTAGTTACTACTATTTGAAGGCTGAAGGTAATTACAGGTCATCACAGCAGTTAAGGGGGGTCTTCAGGGGGTCTCAAGAGCAGAAACTGATACCTGGTGGCACGAGGAATATTCCAGACCAAGCAGGAGTGGAAGGGAATGTTTCATGGCAAGAATTCCAGGATTACGCATTAAAGGAAAAGGTTCAGTGGATTGATTTCCTGGAGTGGGATTTGCTTCAGATTAGTTAGGGTGGGTTATGCTTAAAACGGGCAGCTGATTCTGTTATTCCAAATGCCCGGTCATTTTGAGAAGCTCATGTTTGTGGTCATTCTAGGATAATCGTGGGTGCTATAAATACTATAACCTATCTCAAGTAGGATTAGTGTTGGGCATGGACTCTGTCTCTGTAGGTTTTTGACCACATAGATTTGTACATATGATTCTCAGAGACTGTCTATCCCTTTGCTTTGCAGATGGAACCAAGCGCATAAATCTTCAGGAACCAACTTTCAGGGGCTTCCATCAAAAATCGATACCCTCAAGGAAGAAATGGATGAAGCTGGAAATAAAGTCGAGCAGTGCAAGGTACCTGGTGTCCCTCATACGTGTGTTCTTGTACCAGCCTTTTTGGGAGAGAAGAGAGGCTTTGCTTTTGATGGATGAAAAGATCAGCTATCACAAATTATTTATGAGGTTTGACATAATTCCCAACAGAGCACTTTGAATGATGCTGAGTGTGTCAAGTTCTAGGAGTAAAGTGTGTGTTAAGTTCATCAGAAACTGAACTTCAGGGGGACAGGATGATCCGTACAGGGCTGATCTCTATGAAGTGTAGGTGAGACACACCTCCACTCTGCAGCCTCCTTATTAACCCTGACACCAGCTGTGCCTCACAAGGCACGGTCTGCTCTTGCTCTTCTGCTGCGTGTGGCAATTTGTTGCAGTGGCCACACAGAACCCAGTCTCTGTGCCCAGTTATGTATTTACTAAGGAAGCACTAGGGCACAACTTAGGATCAGAATCGGTCTGCTACCACGCAGGATTAACAGGCCTACAGGTTAACTCTGGAACCCTGTGATTCTTGGCTGGCGGTTTTTTCCTTTCAGCGTTTTATATGTCAGCCCATTTTCTTGTTCGTGTGGTTTCTGTCGAGAAATCAGAGCTAAGTTTATTACTCACCCTTGTAGATAACTTTTATTTTCCTTAGCTGCTCTGAAGATTTTTTCCTT